ATCTGGAAAATTTAAAACCTAAATTTAACGATGGGTCAGCTAGGTTTTATTGATTTTTGGCGACTTGGGTCAGCTAGGTTTATGGACGTCCTTAAACACCACTTTCATTTGGGTGAAAATTTCTCAACTGGACCTCGGATTTCAGACAAGTTCGAATTTTTGCGTGAAAATTAGTGGGTAGAGAGGTTTATAGATGTAAAAGGGATTGTGAGAATTTTTTTGAAAAATTTTAATTTTTAAAGTTTTTATAAGCAAATATATTTTTGAGCAATCTTTTTTTTTCAAAATTCATTTCCTCTTAAAGTATTTGACGAAAGTTGATGAATTTGTTTTTTTGTAAGCGTAGTGACATTAGAGCTTTAAAACAATGTTTTTTTATAATTTAGAAAAAATTTTCTTTTTTAAATTTAAACATAATAAATATTCAAGGTGCATTAAAAATATGTTGTCAATGAGTGTTTTCCATTTCGTTTATATTTTCGAAAACTGCATTTATTGAAGAAAATATTTGTAAAAAAAAATGTGTTAGACCTTTTCTGATTTTGACTTACAGCAACATTTGTCACAGCGCGCACGCATCGTGAACCATGCACGCTATTTTTACTCTCTAAAAAATAATTTATGCAACCTCACATACGCGGTTTTGCATTTTGTTGATACGCGGTTTTGTACTTAAAACGACGAGTTTCATTATATCAAAAATGTATACTTTGAATCTTTGACTAATTTCCCCATTTGAGTTTTTAACTCGCAATAATCCGTTACCTGTTTATTACAAACATATTGGCAAAATTTCGGAGTTATATGTGCACCAGTGCACTTTTTATTGCATTTTTAAGTCCTTTTTGAGGTTAGGTTAGGAGGTATGCTTTAAAATAAATCGATTTCGCCAATTTTTGGCTTTTTTTTTATTTGTCTCCATAAATGTTGTTCTATTTTTCCAAAAAAAAATGTATGGGGCTGTACCACTGTGCGACGTTGAACACTTGCAGATGCTAGCGTGTGGACCGTGCGAAGAATGATTCATAAAGTAGTGGTCCGACGCCATTCGCTGTAATGCGTCCCCAGCCGCTCATCGCCCCACATGCATGCTTTACTTTCGGTTGAATGTGCGAAGGCTTAATAGTTTTTCCGCTCTTGTCACAAAACCAAGATCTTTCATTCTTTGGAAGCGGTTAATTTTGGCATCATCTGACCAAATAACCTATAATTGTACATAACATTAAGACAAAGTTGGAAATGCACGGACATTGCAAAAATTCCTGGACCTTTTTGATTGGATGAGTCCAATAATTTTTTTTTTCTGAGAATGCTCACCTTAGCTTAATGTCCCTGGTTGACAGAAGTTGCTTTCTTTCTTCACCATCGCCATGATCATTACGCTAGCATCTCCACTAACGCACCCCACAGCCGCTAAATATATTCTGTCTAACGCTATTAAACGCCTAAGTTTTGACCCTTCTACCTCGGATATTTTCGGCTTATTTCCACCGTTTTCTTTGCAATCTGCGTGTTAGTAGTGCCTCTAATAATACGGCTAACAGTCGATTGGCTCACATGCGTTATTTTCGCTATTTCACGGTTTAAAAGCCCCATCATAGCTTTTGCAGTAATATTTTTGTTTTTATTTTTATTTCCCAAAACGCATCTCATGGTATTTTAATAACAAAAAACCAACTTACTTACTCATTTATAACAAAAGCCGACACTTTAACGTAGGTAAACGGGTTGCAGCGAGTTGCAACGTGGCAAAAATCTCTTATAAATTATATGTGTGCAAAATTGAGTCAATGTGTTAATTTACAAAAATTGATGGAGTGCATATATGTTAGCGAAATTTGATATTTTTATTATGGATTCTAGTGCTGTGGGGGTGTTTTAATACATAGATGCCATATTATGCATACATATGCCCCGTATTAAAATTCCCCCCGTGGGGCCGCCACTGACTGACACGTAGTTTTACCCCCAAACCCCCCGCACCCCTCCCCCCTGAATACGGCACTGTCTGTAGGTAAATGAAAGAAAATAATAATAAATATTTGGCACTTACATTTTTGTGCAAGTTTCTATTCCTATTTGTGGGGTGCGTCTTGATGTTGTTAACAGAGGGAATTATATCTTTATACTCGGAACCGATCGCTTTTAGTAAAATATTTTCCATTTTTGGATGTTGCTCGTGCCAACGATCGAACTTTGGTACCAACGCGGCAAAGTTCGCAACTTAGCTACGGCATCTGGCGGGAGTTGAATGGAAGCTAGACAAAAATGTAGCTCCTGGCAATACCCAAAGGTAGTTTTGAATTGAGGCACAAGTCACTAATGCCAGCTTGAATTTCAAGGAACATTCTTGCCTATAGGTAGAACATTGGGCTCGGCAGTCAATTGAAAAGCAAAGTCGTATCCCAATGAAGAAAGTTTAAGATAGGTCCATTAACATAATCAACCTTTCATAGGGCGCGGAAGCGAGGACGATGTTCCACAGAGATCAGATGTCCTTGGAAGCTTTGGGCGAAATAGTATACGCAAGATATATGAGTATAATCCTGTTTACATGGTTGATGGGAACCGATGTTCGGGTAGATGGAATGATGCAGTACGCAAAAGATCTCGGCCTTATCCGGCAGGCGATTATAGTGCTTAATAAGGGGAAAAGAAACAATGGGTTTGCGGACTTTCGTTTTTCCAGATATACAGTAATTTTATGAATTAAATGCGTAATTTAAACTACAACTTATCTTTGCAAAAGCGTGGCAATAGAACTCGTTTTAGTATTTTCTTTAAAATATCACGTTTAACTAAAAACAATTAGCCGTAAAAGTTGTTCTGACAAAATGTCTAAGTACTTGCAGTTATGCTTGTAATTGTAATTTTAATAAGAATCTCCTGTCTCTTCTAACAGTTGCCGACGCAGTCATCTGGCCATGTGAGACGAGCTCTGAATGCACGGCCACCGGTTCAACATGCTCTACAGAGACGTCAAACTGTGAATGTGGCAGTTTCAATATTGTATTTGCGACCAACTTAACAACATGTCTGAAGACGTCACTGTTTGGTGACCAATGCGAGGACACAGTTCAATGCAATCTTATGCCATCAGGAGCCAGCTGTAAATCCGGGGTCTGCGATTGCGCCGATGGATACACATACGTTGGTGGACGATGTAGACTATTGAATGGTTTGGATAGTACCTGCGAAACAGTGAGTAATGCATAGCAAAGAGGGAGAGATGGAAGTGTGCTACAACAAATTTTTATAATTAATTTTTTAGGATACGGATTGCATATTTGGCTATGATAGAGAATCGGTTACTTGTCGCGATAATGTTTGCCAATGCGCTGATGGCTATTATCAAAGAAATGGAAACATATGTCGTCGTAAATCAATGAGTAAGTGCATATGATTTGCGAAAGTTCGAACAAAAATTAAAAAACTCACATAGCAAACGGTTGAAAGTCGTCCTATCTCAGAACTCGTTTTGAAAAGCGAGCTATTAGTTCAACAAAGCCCTATCTCAGCTACCGATATTTTGAATTTATATTGGGATAGAGCATTTCCGAAGTGGCAGCTGAGATTAGGCATTTTTGACTCAAATTCTGAGATAGCATGCTTAAACCGAATTCTGAAATAGCGCATTCTACAGAAATTTGCTGAGATAGGCCGTTTTCGAACCGGTTGCCCAGATAGAGCGATCTTCAACTCAGTCGATGATATGTAGCTACATATGAAAAATTTGTATTATATATTTTTTTCATCAGAAATTGGCGATGCCTGTGTCGTACATGCGGACTGTGAAGAATTAGGAACAAATGTGCAATGCAATAATTTAGTATGCGCCGAGACATCGCAAAGTGACTCAGAATCATCGAAAACCGTCTTAAATGCCAGAACAAATACACCAACGCCCACTGGAACCAATACAAATCTCGGCACGTCAAGCACAAACACCCATACGAAAACGGATGTTGGCAATGAGAAATCACCATCATCTGACGGTACATCACAACTCTCCAAATCTCCAACAACCAGCGGTACCAGCAAAGATACGTTAGCGCTGGTGAATGGTCGTAGTGATTTGACGGACGACACAGAAAACGAAACGGAGCAAGAGGAGGAACATGAAAGTGAGCAAACGCGCAAATCTCGTGAAATTGCGGTACAAACTAGTATCGATGCTTTTGAGTTGAAACCATTGACACCGTTAGTGAAAAATGTCGGTACTGCCACCACATCGAGTACGAGCAGTCGACGTTTCTCACGATACCGACAACGTCATTCCGCATTCCGCTACGACTATGAGGATAAGACTTTCTCGACTCTATCAAATACGGATGACGATACGGACGATAAGCAATGTATGTACTTGTATTTTGTTGTGTTGCTTGAAATTAACACTTTTACATTCATATCTATGTATGTACATAAATATGTACCTAATTTTATAAATGTTTACACTTTTTCCCTCATCAGACGGCAGCTCTTGCACGGAGAATGGACAAGTATGTGCCGGACTTCCGCATTCGATTTGCTCACACAATATATGCTTCTGTCGCTCGGGGTACTATCCAAGTAATGGGAAATGTTTTGCGGGTGAGTTAGTACTTGGAGGCAAAAAAAAAAAAAATGAAAATGCTATCATCCTTTCATTTTGCAGAGCTTGGAGAGATAGCGGAGAGTGCCAACGAATGTGAGCATACATTCGAAACATCGTCAAAAAAATGTATTTGCCAAACTAATTACTTCTACGAACGTAATTTACGCTCATGTAGGAAACGTAAGTATGCAGTCCACCTTAAAATGTCAAAAATTTTTTTCCAGCCACCTTCCTAGAACTGAAGAATATCGAAAATAAGTTGGCTCGTATTTTTTATTTTAAAATTGGTTATCATTTAATGGTGCCGCCAGAGATTTGAAGATTTTTATGTACAGTATATTTAGCTTAGCTGCACAACCCTCTTTGCACGAAAAACTTGTGCACCTAACCGAAAAAGGCACTTAAGCGAATTTTCTTTACTACTTCAATTAGGAAGGTATCCGAATCCCTATGAAACCAAATAATGGAGAAGCACTTATCACGTAGAAAATAATGCAAGCGAAATTTTTTTTCGAATAGCCATTTCCGTTGTTCTGCGATATGAGTAAAATAAATAAAAGCTTTTAAAATTAGGTAATTGTAGGCCAGTGCAGGTAAACGTAATACTTTCTTTGATAATTGATACTAGTTGCACAATTTTTAAGGCAGCTATCGCCAATGTGCAGGTATGTTGAATGCATCTATCGGAGCAGTTTCCTTATAAATGTTAAAAATAATGTCTCAGATGCGCATTTTGGGGTAGGTATCTTAAATGTGCACTTAAGCATAAGGGCAGCAAAGCAAAATATACTGTATTTCATATGAACAAAATTAAGTTTTTATTAAAATTGATATAAATTCGTTAACAATAAATAGTTTTTATCACAAAAGAATATTTAGCTTCAGAAATCTTCAATAAACAAACGTAGTGTTAGAGTTTAAATTAGCGACTCAAAATTATACAGTTTCGTTTTGTTTGTATTTAGTTGATGCACACATTTACATTGGGGCAGGTCAACTATTTTTTTTGATTATGCGCGTATAGCATGGAATGTTTATATTTGTAATTCAAAGCAAATTTTTCGAAGAAACCATAGATCTAAAATCAATTTGAAGTTTGAAAAATTTCGAAAGTTAGTTTCGAAGAAATGTGAAACCTTTCACGGCCTCTGGTGGAAGTTACAAGAAAAAAAAGAAAAAGATAAATGCAGAAATGGATTCCCCATGCCAAAAACACCTTCTGGAATGTTTTTATACAAAATTTAAGCACTTTACAACCCTACAGCAAAATTCTAAGAAACCTATTTTCGAAATTTGGAAAACTCCAAATTGATTTTAGACCCATGGTTTCTTCGGCAAATTTGCTTAACGTAACACGTTAACGTTTAAATTTAAACGTAGAATTCTTCTGTACTAAGCACACATTGTCGAAAAGATCTCCCACAAAAGTTGAACTGCCCTAATGTACATACATACATATGTCCAATTTATTGAATTATATTGATTTATTTATTGGACATGGAAAAATATCAAATATAGTTTAAAAAACAAGTAATTTTTTAGCAAACAATTCCACCGAAAAAATTTAGAAGTACCGTTAATTCCCTCATTCCCTCTTGCATTCTATCATCATAAAAAAGTGATCATCGAAACGGTTCACGTGGTCCAAAGTTATCCGGCAACATATATACAAAAATATTCCTATGAATTTATAACCTTACTCTTTTTTTGAAATGTGGTATAAATCGTCGCACCAGAAAACGAATGTGCAAAATCATGATTTGCAATAACAAAAAATTCAAAATTGAAAAAAAAATAAATCCTTTACTACTTTTAAGGAGTTAGTAGTTTACATTATGGCACGTAATAACTGACAAATGATAAAAGAAACAAAATCATAATAGAACAAGTAATTTTTAAATTTTTTAAATAACAAAACCGACTTCAATTCTCATACAAAAATTTAAAATTATCGTTAATTTCTTCATGATCCAATTATCGGATTTAAACCAAATTAGTATGTGAGGCAACACCTTTCCTTAAAATGAATAATCGGTTAACCAAAGTTATGCGGTAACAAAAAAAAAATATTCTGACGAATTGATAACCTTCTCCTTTTTGTGAAGTCGGTTAAAAATTATACAACTTTTTGTCAAGTGTCGAAAGTGAATGGATTTTTTTTTGTGGCAAGACCAATAATTGTACTGAGTTTGATACAAATTTATAAATCGGTTACCGAGATACACATACAGTGAACCAAATAAAACTGGGACGGGAAATTTTAGTAAGTTTTGCCCACTTTTCTTTAGATTATTTAATGTTCGTAAATTTTTTATGGAAGTATAGCTAATTACTTTTACTTAACAAACGCGATATAAATCCAAATTTCGGACTTTGTGCAAAAATTATGAAACTTCTACAAAGTTTCAACAAAATTTCTAACTTTTTAATAAATTTTGGAGTCCATCAAATTTTAGTATAACAAATTGGTACTTGAGACAAGAGCCTATTAACAGTAGTAACCGTTTTTATTTTTTTAATTTCATTTCGAATTGTGTCGTTATTGCACAGGACCATCGATATGTATATACTCTGTAATTTTAAATTATTTAAATAGATATTGCAAAGTTTACAGTACTCAAATATAAAATTTCTACTTTTTATGTTCGCCATAGCAATCCAATATCACTTATCGTGTACCTCGGACAGTCAATGTAGTCCGTTCGGCGCCGCATATTGTCCCACGCAAATACCTCGACGTTGCACCTGTGATGAATATGCGGAGTATGATGAATTGCGGCAGCTGTGCGTCTACAAGCAGGGACTAGGCGAATATTGTGAGTCGAATGATGCCTGCGGGACTGTGGCCAATGCGGTCTGTACGAATAATTACTGTGCTTGCAAGGATAACTTCTTTGTGCAGAATAATACATGTCTACCAGGTAAATGAGCTTTAGCCATCAAGCTCAAGGAATGAAAAAATAATAATGCTGAAAAAATAATTTACTAGGTATTGGCGCTGATTGTGAAACGGACGTCGAATGTGGTGGGGTAGATAATTCAGTTTGTGATCTCACCTCACCGACAAGTGAGGAAAAAGACAAGGCTTGTCAATGTAAAAAGGGATATGTACACTTTAAGGATGAGTGCCTAAAGGAAGGTGAGTTTACTTAATGCAAAATTGCTTCATTTCAATAATGTTGAATTAAATTACTTGCAGCTGAGGAACTAGATGATGAGTGCATTGAAACGGAGCAATGCACACCATTGTTGGGTACCTGCATCGATAAGAAATGTTCCTGCACGTCCGAACAACACATTAAATCTGGTCGTTGTGAAGAAAAGAAAGGTAGAATTTCTTGCTTTCATCTTAATATTCTCTAATTTTTGTTTCGTTTTCAGTCCTAGGTGATGCCTGCGCACGGTCCACTCAATGTTTTGTCGAAAAGGAGCCAGAAAATGTTGAATGTCGCAACTCGGTTTGCCAATGCAAATTTAGTTACCAAGCGGACGAAGAAAAGAAGACTTGTATACGTGTGGTATCCAGTACCAAAAGTAAGTGATAAATGGAGTGAGATTTTCGTAGAACGTCTAACATTTAATTGAGAGCTTAAAATATCATGTTGGGTACTATATTCCAAATATAACATCGGGCGGGTATTTAGATTTAAAAAGCATCATATTTTAACAGGGCGTCATCACCATAAAGCCTCTTTCAATGCCCACTCATTAAGAATGAGAAAAACGGTAGAATATCTATATATATATGTAGGTCTGATCCGTCGCAGGAAATTAAACTGGATAAATCCTATAACTCTGGTAACCAACTAAGCATAGGAATAATTCTCTAACTTTCCCTCACTTGGTCTTTCCTTCGCAGTGGGGACGTCCCTCCCTGGAGCGTCGGTGTATTTTAATTCGCTGTCCTGTGTCAGTGTCATTGTAAAGCTCATACAGCCCATGATTCCATCGTCTGCGGTACTCGCCGCCGCCTGTGCGTAGAGGTCCGTAAATCTTCTCCAAGAGCCGCGTCATCGGATTTTGTCATTCTCCATGCTTCTGCGCCATATACCAGTACGGGCATGATGAGTGACTTATAGGCTGCTGTTTTAGTCGAATGCGCTGACTATTTGTTTGATGACAGGAGATACTTCGTATTTCCTCGTTTATCACCAGACCCATTCGCTTTGCTTCCTTATCCAACTTCGAAAAGGCAAAACTGACTTCGCGCCCGATGATGTCGATGCCATCGGCGTACGCCAACAATTGCACGCTTTTGTAAAAAATTTGCTCTGAGCGGTTCTGTTCTGTAGCTTTTATTATCATCTCCAATATCATTTTAAAGATCTCACATGTAAGAAAGTGACCTCGTCTGAGTCGCTGTTTGGTAGCAAACAACTGGGAAAGGTCTTTCCCAATTCTGACAGTTCTGATGGTATTGTTCAACGTCATTTAACACAGCCGTATCAGTTTCACAGGGATGCCAAATACAGACATCGAGGCTTATAGGCAACTGCTTTTAGAGCTTTCGAAAGCTGTTGAAGTCGACAAATATATGGTGGATGTCGATACTTTTCTCGCGGGTCTTTTCCAAGAATTAGCGTATTGTAAATACTTGATCTTTGTTGGATTTTCCAGAGCCATACTGATAAGGCGTAATCAGTTCACTGACGGTGGGCTTCAGTCTTTCACACAATACGCTCAATAAGACCTTGTAACCGATGCTTAGAAGGCTGATCCCACGGTAGTCGCCGGGAATAGCGGGGTAGCCTTTCTTGTGGATTGGGCAGAGCGCACTTAAATTCCCGTCGTCGGACATTCGTTCATCTGATCATACTCTGCATAAGAGTTCATGCATGCACCCTATCATCTCCTCGCCACCGAACTTGAATAGCTCGGCTGGCAGGCCGTCAGCTCCGGCATCTTTGTTGTTTTTCAGCCGCATAATCGCTATTCGTACCCCGTCCTAGTCAGGTGGTGGAACGTCAACTCCGTCGTTATCGGCTATGGGATCGTGTTCGTCTTGTCCACTGCTATCAGTGGTGCTGCCATTCAGTAGGGTTCACCCCATAATTTAAGTACGTTCTGGATATTGGTCACTAGGCCATCATGGTAAGTAGTCTAACTGGCTGGTAAAATTTTCGGACGTTTTTCCTGACCGCCAGCATTTAAAGCTCTCCGAAATCACATATTTTAGCCTCTATCTTCTCATTGCAGAAAATACGTCTCGCTTCCCTCTTCAATTCGCTATGCTGGTCCCACATACCTAGCGTTGCGCCCGATCGTAGCGTGGCCTGCTGGCAGCATATTTTTTTCTGCAGCTTATTGACACTCCTCATCGTAGTAGTTGTTCTTTCGGGCTCGCTGAAATCCAATTAGTTCTTCGGCCGCGGTTCGTAATGAGCGGGAAATGTTGTTCTACTGCTTGTTAAAGAGTGCTCTTTATTGCACCTTTTTGACGTGGAGCTTTCCTTGCGCTGTAGAACGCTTATTTTTTGCTACACAGAGGTCCTCGGAGTGTACGTTCGTCTTAAACACTAGAAGCGTGCTACTGTCTATTACAACATAGTCGATTTGGTTTCTCGTTTTTCGATCTGAAGACAGCCAAGTAGCTTGATTAAAAGTTTATTATGAGTGCTAAGCTACGTCAATAGACTAGAATGAGTTGAAACAAAACATTTTTAAGCGACAAAAAGATGTTTTGTTTTAACTCATTCAAGTAGCTTGATGTATCTTTTTATGTATGAACCTAATACTGCATACTAACATGTTTCGGGTACGGCGAAGTCGATCAGCCTCAGTCCTTTACCGGACGTTTCAGCACGGAGATTGAATTTTCTGACAGTGGCGCCAAAGTTCCCTTCCTTGCCCACCTTGGCATTGAAATCGCCAAGCACGGTTTTGATATCGTGCCGGGGGCAACACTCGAATGTACGTTCTAAGAGCTCATAGCATAATTCCCTGGGCGCCTCGTCCTTGTTTTCTGTCTGGTATGGGCGCCGATATGCGAGATGTTGAAGAATCTCGCCTTGATATGGATTGTGGCTAGACGTTCGTCAACCGGGGTGAACGACAGTATTCGGCGACGAAGCATCTCTCCCACCCCAAATCTAGCACCGAATTTGCGCCCGGTTAAATGACAGTTGTAGTATGTAGACGTCGCAAAGCCCCACGTGTTTCTTGACTTGCCCCGTCCAACGTTTTTAAACGTTTGCCCTGGTCGTCATCAAAAGGTGGAGGGGGTCTCATCCCCCAATGCTGGGACATGGACGGTTTTTTTTAACCGAATACTCGTTTACATAATGAGCCTCTTGCTCCAAAACAGACGACCTACTGGTGAACAGACATTGTAGACTTCAGTGATCCCTTAAAGCCAATAGGTCGGAGTGGCCCCACCGAAGTTTCCTCTCTTTCTACCGTGATCCACGGCTCCTCCACTCGAATACTTTACTGCATTTCGCACATTGCACAACTGTAACTGCATATACATATATATGAAAAGGATTTCACACATACGAAGATATGCCAATGCTTAAGCAGCAAACAGATGAAAGAATGCATTTCATTTGATACTCATTTATACACATAAATATACAGATAAAAACTTGTATACATAAATATGTAGTATGTAAACTTAACTAAATATGCATAAATATTATCTTTTTCAGATTCTTCCGGAAGGCCAAGTGCTCTTAAAATAATAACATTCCTATTAATAGGAGCAGCTTTCTTAATAACAAGTGCCGCAATTAAACAGGCTTATTATGATTAAATTTCATATATGTAGTTGCAGTTTGGGTAAATTAAGAGCGCAAATTATTTCGCAAGCCGAAGGAAAAACTTACATACTCGTGTATATAAACATACATACATACATACATACATACATGCAGCATTGCAACATGAAATTAATTAAAAGAATTGCTTTGTGCGAAAATTCAACGCCAGCTTTAAATCTCACAATTCTGTTGAAGTAACACAAACATACGCAAAAAGTATTAGCTGAGTGAAAGAAGCAGTAAAAGGAGTAAAACAAAATAAAAAAATAAAAAAAAAACTACAACAGTTCCAAAAGCAATACTTTAATCAGCGTGAACGAAATTATAAAACTTTTGCAATAACTCGTTAATTTACATATATTTAATTACTTTTTAACGAATATATTAAGAAAAGCAATCATGTAAATTAGAGAATGCAATTTTCAATTTTAAGTAACTTAAGGTCTTTTGCGTGCCTGTGCACATACTTGCATACATACATACACATGTGAATGCATGACTATGAAATATTTAACAAACTTGTTTTAGTCTAAGATTATAGTCAATAAATCTTTTGAACTTATTGCCAAAAACTAAGTATTCAATTGAATTTTTATTTTGCTTTTTTTTTTTAAAGAAAGAGAAAGGAACCGTAGGCAGAGCTGGGTCGTAATGATTCCTTTCGGAATTGAATTACTCTGAATTACAAATTACAAGGAATTGTAATTAGTAATCAATTCCTTTAATTTAAAAAGGATTTTTTGTTTCTAGTTAACTCAAAACTCGGAACTTAACATTGGATTGAATATTATGGATCTGTATACCGTTTAACCAAATCAGGTCAATTACACAAAATATTTTCATTTTTATGAAAAAAGTTCTAAAAGCTCAGTTATGCAAGACTCAGACTTGACTTCACTTGAAAATTGTATATCTGGCAAATAAGCAGCGCCGTGTATGTAGTTACCCACAAAACATCTTCACTTAAAAATTGGATAACTATAGATTTTTGATTTCTAAGTTAAATTGCTAAGTGCAAAGAGAGCTGTGAGAGAATCATGCTGCCATTTCATTTTTAATAAAATCCCTACAAATAAGTCACACAAATATAATTTTTTGTATAAATGTAATTCATCTGGCAATCGAAAAACAAGCTTTCAAATAAAGGCAGAAAATAAAATAAAAACAATCACGATTTGTAAATATATTTACTTATATTAAATGTAATTTGGTATCAATTTTGGTGTAAAACAACATAAACGTTTACAATTTTACGAGAAAATGCCAGCAATGGACTTTAAGCTTATAATCCCGGGGCCCATTCCGGTTCAATGAAACCGTGAAGTGAAAATGAAAAATTCAATGTAAATGAAAATTTAATTTTTTCACTTTATCGTTTCGTTATATCATTTTAAGCGATTCTCGATCATTAAAGGCTTTTCCTAGCTAGCAAGTAATTATTTTGTAAATTATTGTGAGTTTAAGGCAATGATATTCTTTATCACAAGATGGTGGTTTTGAGAAAAACTTTTCTTTTTCAAAGCTACAAAACTTTGTGAAAAAAAGTTTCACAGTGAAAAATTTTTGACATATTAATTTTTTTTCTATTTGAAAGCAGAATCGTGTTTTTGGCTGCTTTTCTTTATACATTCCGGATAATCCCATTTCACAGCCGGAATAAACAGATTGCGTTTGAAATATACGTTAACATATCATCAGGAACGTTCTACAGAATAAGTAAACAAAAAAGTTTATTCCAAACGTTCAGAATGAATAAAGAAATGCAGCCTTTATGTGAAGTGATGAAAAATGTTTTCACTTCACGTTTTCGCAGAACAGGAATTGGCACCCAGCTGTCAAGAAAAATCACAGGAAATATTTTTAATTAATTCTGTTGCTTGAAAAAGCACTTTGCTTTTGCTGTAAATTTTCTTGAAGAAATAAATGTACAAGTGTTTTTTTTTTTGAGAGCTGCAAATTGATTTAATAAATTTTGATAGAAGAAAATTTATTTCATTATGCGTCACTTGATATGAATTTTTGGTTTTCTTTGAGAGCTGAAAACGGTCCTTTATCAAGGAAAAAATTAAAAACTAGCAAATGTTTTGTACAATAGTTATCAGACGGTAGTTTCACTTCTTCTAATCCGCCATCTTAGCTATCTGACAGACAACGTGTTTCGTATTTTTTGTTTTACCAACTTTTTCAAAAAAAAAAAAAAAAATCCAGCTCTTGACGTTGGAGAAATAAAACAAAGCAAAGCCTAACAGAAATTCTCAAATACTTTTTTAATAATTATCTTCTTAAAAAATTATTAAAAAATTAACTGCTGCTTCCATGGATGTTGCACCACACGGAATAGATGTAAGGATACAACTAAAGAGCCATCGCACACCACAGACTTTATCGGCCGCCGATTTAAATACTTGGGGCTCATTTAAAATATGTAAATACATGAAGATGTATGGAGGAGCGCACACTACACCAACTTAATTGCTCCGACTAATCTGTTGTGTGGATCTAAAACATTTTAAACAAGAAAAACCAGTTTCAAAACCGCCTAAATTGCCATTGTGACAAAAATGAGATTTGGTTACCTTGAACTCCAGGCATCGAGATTTATGCATAAGAATCGTAAAATCGTTATTAAAATAACAGATTTGTAAAATAATTGCGAGAGAAAATACCGCCTATCAAGGCAATGCCTTCAAAAAAAAACCCGTTTTTTCGCTCTCCTGTGGAATTTGAGTGGCTTTGCAATTGGTCGATGGGCGGTTTTGCAAAAATATCGACGATATGTTTTTTATGTGATTAGCAGTGGCAGGTATGTAAGTATCTATTAAATGCGTATATGTATGTATATTAAAAATGAAGTGATCAATTATCAAATATATAAATATCTTCATGTTCTGTTGAAAAATATCTGTAATAATAAGCGAAAATCCCCAAATTCTATATCGTAGCATTAGCATCGGCCACATTGCGCTTTTGGTACAGACTCGGTTTATGTCAAAAATTGTTAAGTGAAATTACCTTCTAAAAATTATTGTAGCATGCTACTAACGATGAAAATCGATGGATAAATAAACAAGTGGTGAATGGCCAAATGAAAAAGTGCAATAATTTTTATACCCGAGCGCACTTGTGCACAAGGGTATTATAACTTTGTTCACATAACGGTTGTTTGTAACAGGCAAAACGAATCGAGATAGATATAGACATATGTATACATAAATGATCAGGATGAAAAGAGAAATCGATTAAGCGCTGACTGTCTGTCCGTCTGTGCACACGATAACTCGAGTAAAAATTGAGATATCTTAACGAAACTTGGTATATGCACTTCTTTCGGGCGTAGGACGGATGCTATTGAAAATGGGCAAAATCGGACAATAACCACGCCTACCTCCCATATAACGGTAATTTTCAGAAATACGAAAACTGCGATATTTTAGTAACTACTCAAGATTATTCACTCAAAATTGATATTTACAATAACTTTTAGACGAAAAATAAGAATATTAAAAATTTTTGGAAAATGGGCGTAGCCACGCCCACTTATGGTTACATGTGTATATCTTGGTAGCCGCTGCACCAATTTCTTCCAAATTTGGCACAGTTGTTAACCTTGGTATAACATACGAAATGGCCGCAAATTTTTAAAATCGGACAATAACCACGCCCACATGCCATATAACGGTAATTTAGAGAAATACGAAATCTTCGATAAATCAGTAAATATTAAAGCTAATTTATTCAAAATTGATGCTTGCAACAATTCTCTACCAAGAAATACGCTTAAGAGAAAATTTTGAAAAATGGGCGTGGCACCGCCCACTTATGATCACATATATGTATCTCGGTAACCGTTCTAGCAATTTGTACCAAACTCGGTGTGGTTATTGTGCTTGCCACATAGAAGCAAAACGTTGAAAATTATTGAAATCGAACTAAAATTACGGCCCCTTTCCATGTAACAGTAAATTTCAGAAATGCTTGAAACTTCAATATTTCGAAATTTAAGGACAATAATTTACTCAAAATGGATACACCCCGGTTTACCATGTAGCGGTAGCTTTCGGAAAGGTGAAAAACATATATTTAATACTTGCGCCGGGTATTTAATGTTCGGCTCCGCCCGAACTTAGACTTTGTTACTTGTTTTTGTATGAAATAGGAGCATGAAATAATGTTACTCATACGCCATATCGTACTTGGCCCTACTCGTACATACACGTACAGGGCGTATGAGTAAAATTTTCCATATTAAAGTTTAAATGTTTTTCATTCGCAATATAGTGTTATTGTTATTTTAGTTAAAACATTTTTATTTTTGTTACTACTTAGCCATAAAAAAGCTTCTCACGAAAATGCAATCGCCTTTATGTGACAATGTCCAAGGCTCACGCTACAAATCAGAGGAGAAGCTCGGCCAAACGCTAACATATTGTGTAGGCGCCAATATATTATTATTATTGGTTTGATTGAAAAAACATTAAATAATAATTGTACCGAATTCTCTATACGTCCTTAATTCGGCAGCTTACGGTAGGTCAATCTCAATATCATACCTCTAAATCCATATGAATATGTATGTACGTACATAATTCATTCGTCATACTAAGTTAATAACAAGGGTGTGTTATCCTTATAATCTGTGTATTTATACACTGTAGTGTACACGTGTACACGTACGTATACATACATACATATGTAGGTACCCAGTAGAACTTGGGAGCATCGTACGATTGCTCGGTGAGTACTCCCTTGGGAGTATACGAATACTCCCCATTGCTCCCTATGCTTTTGTGTATAAGCATGTAATTTTGTATACTCCCTTTAACATTGGATGTCCTAGGAGGGGGAGTAATCCCTTTTACCTCCTAAACGAGCAATCGGGGAGCACACACAGAATTATCATCCCACAAACCTCCTAATGCAGCAATACGGGAGTACTCCGTTAGTTACCTCCCAAAAAGACAACAAGGGAGTGCACATAGAAAATATCCCACATTCCTCCCTAACGAGTACTAAGGGAGTACGCCCATAAGAGTCATCCCGGAAACCTCCTGTACGAGTAATAAAAGAGCGCCTCTATACTCCCGAATTCCTCCTCATGGAGTAATGGAAGACTACTCCCACATTGCTCCATAACGAGCATTTTACATAAGCTAAAAAGATTTTGCTTTTTACGCAATTCATTTATTTCATTTTTTAATCATACTTATGCACATAAATACAAGATTTAAGCTGATTATTACAAAAACAGAAAAAAACATAAATAAGTATTATTACATTATTAACTAAAATTAGTGGGAGTGGACCAAACGATTCACGCCTTGACAAATTTCCGGCTGTACCCAGTAAATTTTCTGGGCGGGGCAAGATTGCAACGCTAGAACTTAGACGCCTTAATTGCTGGCCCCGTAATCTGAAATATATTTTGAGTTAAATAATACAATCATTTATAAGTTTAAACAAATGCTATCGTACATACCAGCGGCTCTAAAGATTTGCTCTCCAATTAATTTGATTGTTTCCTGATTTAAAATTTTCAATAAGAAATACATATGTATGTAAGTATGAATGTACACATCAGTTATCTGTCTTGCTTTCTTCATACATTTACCAAAAACACAAAATTATGTTGAAGAAGGTGCGTATAGCTCTGCTATCAATCAAAAAGAATACTCCTGGATTGCTCGCTTAGGAGACATCGATTTTTGCTCCTAAGCTAGTAATAACGGAGTACAAAACCAACAAATCTCGCTTATACCTCCGAAATCATGTATCCTGGAGGATACTTTTATTGCTCACTTGGGAGATCTCCCATTATACTCCTAAGTGAGTAATACAGGAGTGCAAAACCAACTAATCTCGCTTATTGCTCCCAAATCATGCCTCAGGGAGCATTCTTTAATTGCTAGCTTAGGAGATGTCCCTATTGACTCCTAAACGAGTAATAAGGGAGTAAAAAGTCCACAAATCTCTCTTATTGATCCGAAATCAGGTCAAGGGGAGTACTCTTTTATTCCTCACTTAGGGAGATCTCCATTCAAGTTCTAGTGGGTATAGAGGCTCTATCTCTATTTTCATCACGCAATAGTTATGACTTGAAAGCAGCACAGAAATTAAAAAATCTATGGACTTTATGTATGCCCGTACTATGTATGTCTGTGCACAAGCTTTTTCTATTTGACTACGCCATCATTTTCCTCATTTTCAATGTCTTTTAAGTTCCTTCACGCTAACCAATGACGTCACAATGCAGTGTCCTAAGGTGGCCTGCGGCATTGTGCCGTCATTGACAATTTACTTAATTGATTACATAGTAGCTTTCATGCCACCAAGTGATTTCGTTTTTTACTTTGTCGATATCTTACTACCTGCCATCATAAGTTCTTGACTTGAGTAGTAAATAATTGTATGAAATAAATTCAATCACGCTATTTGACCGACACCAATGTGCTCGAAAATTCGTGCTAAATCTGAAGTGAGCGTTCGATGCTCGTGAGTGCTGGTAGTTTAATTGTTGCGTTAAGGAATTTTACTTGTAAGTAAAGTGTTTCAGCGCTTGAATTTAATTGGTTGAAAAGTATGAGATGTTATATATAATTAACAAAGCAAGTGCAAGAAAAATCAGATTAGGCAATAATTATTGCAAGGAAGGCGATATTCGGTGAATGTCTAGACATTTGGGCTTAGAAATTTTGCTTATATCGACTATAGGTAATACAATACTATTTACCTTTTACATCTGCACATATCAGTGCCGGATTTCCGGGAGGAGGCGGAGGCGTTGGTTTTCTACCTTTGAAACTCTAACATCCAAATTCATAAAAAGTAAAGAAGAAATTTAACTGCTTTATAAATCGAAAATTTGTATGAAAATGCCACTCTTTAAGCCTACTTTATTTTTTATGAATTACGCCCTCATACTTTAGTTGTTGAGAAGATACTGCAATAGACATTAACATGCCATGATTTTTACTTTTCCTGCCTACCGCCAACAGCTGTAAAATCATTTAAGTCACGAAATTTCGTTATTAAGAAGGAATTTACATACATATGATTAATTGGTTGCAAGCCCAACCATTCAGCTCCGCTTTATCAGGCCTAGTAAATTTTGTGGTCCTTCGGCAATTCATTTGCATTTAAAGTCGACCGAAACACATTTTTAGGTTTTTGCTTTTTTTGGTAATTTCGATAATTCATAACAAATAAGAACTTTGAGACTCTATCTCGGAAAAAAATTTTATCAAAAAGAAAATTTCTTAGTCATTTTATTGAATATGGTTTGATACAAATAAATGTGGGAATATGGATCGCCATTTCACAAGAAATTGTGTCTGAAAAAATGCTATTTATCTGATTACTTGATTCATTACCTTCCCAAGGCACCTCAGTTTTGTAATTATAGCAAAAAAGAGTGAATTTTGTTGAACCAACTAGATTATTTTATCGATATATGCCAGAACCATGATTCAATAACACAGCTAAAATTTTACACTCCTTTATTTAGATTTGTATTTTGGAAGTAGGAGAAAGGGGAAGGATGTGATCGCCTTTTGCGAAAACGGTAGTAGAAAGGTACTAAGAAAGTGCGCAAAGTATACAATTAGAAGTAAAATCTTTATTATTAATTATATGTGAATTTTCAATATATCGTTACCTTAATATAGAAAGGCCCTAACTCATATAGTCGCTGAAATGCGAAAAAGCCGTAACTGACAAAAATTTTTTATTGCTTAAAATGATGTGGGGACTTATAATTCGATGAAATACATCATATTCAATCAAAACGGGAATTTCGGTATTTTACATAGTTACGGCTTTTTGTATTTCAGCGACGATGTGAGATAGGGCCTTTCTATATTAAGGTACCGATATTTGGTGTTTTAATGGAAATACTAAGCAATACGTAAAATAATAGATTTTTAATTTAAGTTATTCGTCATTTCCAGGAACAAATCTAGAATACCGACCGTTCAACTATGCGAAAACAAAAAATGCAGATCAATAGAACTTTTTACGCTCATTTTAACCATGTCAAAATTATTTAGCGCAAGTAAAATTTAAGACGTTTTGGAAGGTTACAATTAGATTCCTTGATTTTTTAACATTAATATCTTATAAACCACTTAACCGATTAAAAAACTAATAACGTCACCATAAAGATAATCAATTAGTCTGTTCCAATAGCAGTCCGGTTTACAGGATTTAGTCAGAACTTACAGGCAGTCGTTCCTGTTGACATAAAACCTGTAAGTGGGAACGCATTTGAGAGAGTAACTGAGCAACTGTTCCTAGTCAGAAGTTACAGGATTTAGTACGGAGTTTTTTTTCCTGTAAGTTCATGAAAAGTGTCAAACGATCAGCTGATTTGCATGTGCAAGCAAAAACAAACAGCGGTGAAAGCAAAGAATCTTATATTTGTAAAAAAATGGAAGTAAACAACGAAATGTTTGAATATGTATAGATTTTAATAATTATTTAGTGATATTTCAGCTAAATCAGTGTTGTACAAATGACATGTAAACAAACCGACTGACGTTTTTACAGGAAATAGTGCTTTTTGCGTTCCTATGCACTTCTGCATCTGTTCTCCTTTTACTCTCATTTGAGAGAGTAAAATTGTAGTTTGACAGTTCCACAGGTTTTAGTCCGAAGTTCAAAGGAACATACTTAATTTATCTTTCAGCTGATATACATAATTTAAATTCTTTTAATACATTTAAACCAAAACCACTAAAAAACGAACATATGTTATTTTTTCATGAAATAACCTTTTTTGAAAAAACTGCATGATTAATGGTAAAGAAATTTATATTGGCTGCATTTCTTTATTCATTCTGAACGTTTGGAATAAAATTTTTTGTTTATTTATTTTTTAGAACGTCCCTCATGATATGTTGACGTATATTTCAAACGCATTCTGTTTATTCCGCCTGTGAAATGGGATTATCCGGAATGTATAAAGAAACGCCATGATTATTTAGAAGGTACAAGCTATTATCTTTAATTCGATATACATATTTTATCATGATCTACGTTTGGGTTTTAAGAATTAAGTGATAATAAAAAATATAAGTAAACAAAGCAAATAAACCTCTTATATCTTCTTTGTTTATTACCCGCGCCAAATAAATTTGGTATCGTTGAAATCAGCGAAAAAAGTTCTATCAATCGGCACTTTTGGTTATTTTATAGCTAAACGGTCGCTATTCTAGACTTGTTCCAGAAATTTACGCTAACGAAGCTGATCCCAACGAATATTTATTATGAAGAATTTTTGGTTTTACTACTAATATAACTAGAAACTGTAGAGTGTCCAACATTCTGCACAAGTGAAGCAGTCGATTTTATGCGTGGGAGCGAGAAGACTGTTTTATTACAAAACCTTTCTGTTATTGAATCATGTGCCAGACCTAAAATTTTTAAAATATTTTTCAGTCGATTTCTGTCAAAAGTTGAGCCACATTTGTAAATCAAAAAGGTGATACAACTATAAATCCAAACCCCCTTTGTAAAATCCTGGACCGCCACTGGAATATATGTACATATTCACCAATTTTTTTCTACATGTTTCTAAAAAGGAGCAGTTCTTTTCGTATCAGAAAAAAGTATAAACTCCGAGTAATGAAAGAAACAAGAAAACTGTTGGTGACCCCAAATATAATTTTTCTCAATGTCAAATGTGATACGGAAATTTTAAAATTCATTTCAGTCACGCTACTTTAAAGACTTTACAAACTTAAACACGCTTTATATTAATTTAATTTAAACACGAATAGCAAGACCACCCCAAACAGCAAAATGTCGTGTGTGTGCCAATATTTTGTGACATCGAAAAACCGAAAGCTAATGGGACTCAACTCGGATGGCAGCGATGTATCGGTGTTAACCCAAAATTCGCTCGCTTTGACAAAAGATGAGGCCAAACAGGAGTAGAGTGCCTCGAAATTTACCACGTTTATTCCACACTCTTACCTATGTATTTCTGCTCATTTCAGCAGCAGCAGCAGCAAATTGAACGAAGAGGTATCGGCCACAGAATTGGCTGCGGCTAAAGCGGAAATTTGGGTACTCAAAAAACATCTCAACGATGCACAAATATCCATCGAGAACTTGGAAAATTTAGTACGTACCATAATACTTAAACAGAATGAGCTGCTGGGCGCCATGTACGAATTGAAGCAGCAGAATTATGAGTTGCAAGATGAATGTCGCATGCAACGTGATTACCAGATGATGGAACGTAACGCCATGATGCGCGAGATGCACGAAATCAAAACGTTGTTGAGCGACCGCACAAAGCTGCTGGTATGTGTGTGTGTATTTAACTTTTATATTTTATACAAGGATTACAATTTAAAACATTATTGGCAGGAGGACACCGTCAAGCGGAATTCAGAGTTGACGTCTGCTCTACAAGACGCCAACGAGAAAATCTATATGATGGGCATGAAGTTTTTGAAATTAAGAGCATCGCGTTCGAAGCGCGTGAATACCTCGAATGTCTCGAACACTACATCGGGTAGTAATACGGAGCGGTCGAATTCCGGTTAATTGTATGACTAACCTAAATAGCAGTTAATAGTTGCAGCTGCTTTAAAATCAAATTGTCCGTTCTTGTACAAATGTTTATTTTACTACAACTTTATTTTTTTATCTAGCCGTCAATGTAATTTATAGCAATTGGAACGCAAAATAGTTGCATATCATTTTGCTTTCGTCGTAAATGAGGTAAGTATAGTGGATATTTTGTGGAGTAAAGGTGCTGGTCCAATGCAGGCTTGCTTTGCGTGCTTCGCTGCGAGAAGTGTCAAAAATTATTTGGAATATACTAAAACGTAGTATAAAGGCTGGCCAAATGGCAGCTTTTCTTCACTTGCTTTAAGCGCCTCAAAGTTTGAAATAAGCAAATGTTTTATTTGAAAGCGTTTTGTAGGATTTTGACAAGGAGGTATGTTCCTTTCAAAATACATAAATTCAAACAAACATTTGCTTACTTAATTTAAAAAAGTCACAGAAAATATCCGCTAACAGGCGAGGGACTCACAGTTTTACGCCGACTCCGAACGGCGATTGTATTTTTATGAGAAGCTGTTTTTCATAGCAGAAATACACTTGAAGGTTTGCCATTGCACGCCGTGGGGCAGTACGCAGTTCTTAAGAAATTTGCTACCCTTTATACTACTTTATACTACATACAAATTTCAGCTCTTTTTCTCAGAATCACAAGGTTTCTCAAAATTCTTATGTAGCACTTAAGATAGAGGATCAAAAATTGCTTTTTGGTGGAGACTATAATTTTTTGCAAAAATTTGTTGCATTTCTTAGACAATGTACCATAAAAGTTTTTTTCGCGAATGGCTTATTTGGATAGATCATTTTCTAAGCTTTCCAACGATATATAATTTGTATTGGGCGTGGTAAAAGGAATACAAGTTTTTCATCATATAACGCACTCGGGTCCGCCTTGAATTTTTGTCCGCGATAACGCAAGTTTACAGAAATGAAAAAATTGTCCGACCAGCGACATTTTTATATTCATTCTAATGTAAAATTTCAAGCTGAACCCGAATACGAAATTAAAATGTAAGAGAGTAGAACAGTTTTTGAGATATAGCTGAATTTGGGGTTTTGAGATCTGAAAAAAGTTCACTCAAATTTCATACAGAATAGAACCTTAAGATTGATATTAAGTAGAAGATTAAGGTGGAGATGAAGATGAATTAAAAAATTAAGATGAAGGTGAAGGGGATGAAGGCGATGAGCGTGAAGATAAGAGATGAAGATGCAGATGAAGATTACAATGTAGAAAATAAAGAAATAGATAAAAATGAGATAAATATATATAGAAAAGATAAATATATATAGAAACATAAAAACAAGTAATAAATGTAAGTATTATTCTCCTTATTTAACACTACAACCGTTTGTCGGTTCGGGCGGAGACCAAAAACCTTCGCCGATTGCCTCTCTCCTTTGCAAATTTTCGCCAGGTGCCCATCCCGAGTGCTGAGAGGTGCTTCTGCACTTGGTGCTGACATTTCGTTCCTGCGCGACCTTGCTTTCCTTATTCACCCATGGGTGCCGAGTCGAAGGCTATTTTCATTGAAGCATCGTTAGAGAATAGTTCTCTCGCAAGCACCCAAAGCCTTCTCATCTCTGTAATCTATGTAAGTAGTTTTCCATGAAAAAGGAAAATAAAAACAAAGTTCCTGTTAAAAAATACCACTAAAAATGTATGCTAGGAAATATTTTACAAACTGCTACCTTTCGGAAATTTTGCTATCGAGTTATGTTAACTGTAAACTTTAAAGGAATTTTTCTCGACTTTTGCAGCAAATGTGCGATATTATTTAAAAGAAAACAATTACTGGCGTGCAACATTTTTCCACAGTATCCTTAACACATTTACATATCGACGGCTGAGTAGAAGATCGACCTATCTCGGCAGCCGGTTCGAAAACACGCTATCTCAGAAAACTCTTCAAGAACGCCCTACTTCATAATTTAAGTGAACAACGGTCTATCTTAGAGCTCGGTTCAAAAATGCCCTATCTCAACTGAAAGCATATTGAAAATATGTCGTGTTTTATTACATTTATAGGAGGTTTTTGAATTCTTGATTTTTCGAGTATCGAATAAACCGATTTTTTTTTTATCGAACAAGCCTGTCTTTTCATTTCATTCAAATGCTGACCTCAATAAAAGTTCTGAGTGTTTCGAAGTTTTCAAGGCTTTTTCCAGTTTAAAGGAAATTCCTAAATAGCTTTAAAATTATATCCTAGCTTATTTGGGAATGAACAGTATAACATTTTTGACACAAATGGAGAGATCTACACTTTTACTCCCCCTCCGAGGAAGCGAAGCTTTTTTATGGCGGAAGTACGCTCGGAGGTTTGTCATTGTCTGCCGAGGGGATCAGAAATTGAACCATGGACCACCCGAGTGGCAGTAAGCACCTCTAAGCACTCGGCTACGTCGGCAAGAACACTAGTCAAATCCGAAAAAAGTCAGAAAAAAAGCAATGAAGTATTAAAAAAGTTAAAAAAATTGGTTTTTCTTTTGAACCTAAAAATAACTTTGAACTCACGAAACCGCAGCCTCACACAAGATACAACAAGTACAAAAAAGTGCGAATATCCATATTATGAGCATTTAACATTCAGTATTTAACATTCACAGAAAACTATGAATGAAATCATTCCTCTTTACGAAAAGTACATTACCTTAAGGCTTTATAAAAAATGGCACGTAACTCCGCTTTTTTTGGTACAAACACTTTGAAATTTTTACTGAAAGAGTATTTTAATTTATGCGACCAAAATCTGTGAAAAACGCAGTTTCGAAAAAAGTGTTCGCTATGGAATTTGTGAATTAAAGTAATGATTTCAAGAGGAGAAATTTGACTGTTTTACATGTGAAATCATTTTGTAAAATACTACACTCTGTTTTTAACTGTTGACTAACTTCTCACGTAGATTTTGTAAAGCAAAAAAACTTCAACAGGATTTTTTGCGTTTTGGAATTTTTATTGAAAATAAGGTACGAAAGAATGCAGCCATACATTTTAATATTGACATCATGGTTGAACATAAATAATATGTATCTACATATAAAACATTTCATTTAAATTTCGGTTTATTCATAATAAGTTTTGTATTTATAAGTACTTATTAACAGAATTAAAATTCATGACTATCGACTAGTGTACATACATACATACATATTTAAATATATAATAACTAAATATTTCGCCTAGGATTCAAAAGGCAAAGTGAATAATTACACACCTGGTTTTCATGCAAAAAAAAATACCAGATTTTTACGATCGAAAAATATTAATTTTAAAGAATTCTTTACCATTTCTACAAAAGGTCTTTTTTTCCATGTAAAATACATAGAAAACTTTGAGCGCTTTGGGCGACCTCTAAATATGCTTTGATTTCAAAATTAAAAAATAAGGGTATATTTTTTTAATATAGAACAATTCTAGGGGGTGAGAGCATTAAAATTTCGAACTTACTTATTTTCAGTTATAATAAGATGATAAGTTGGGTACATATATTAGTGTTTGGCCGAGCTTCTCCTCCGATTTGTGGTGTGCGATTTGATGTTGGCATACCTACAGTTTTACGCCGACTACGAACGGTGATTGTATTTTTATGAGAAGCTGTTTTCTTTATTTGTTTGCGATGCTGCTTTGACCAGGGATTGAACCCAGACCCTGCGGAGTGGTAGCGCGCACTGCTAACTACTACACAACAGCGGCCACCATATACATATGTATGGCCGAGTATATATGTATGTATGTATGTATTTATTTGTATGTATATAATGTATCATGCATGATTCCTATTTTTAACAACTTCAGTGCAAAATTAAAACTAGCTAGTGCTTAAGTGCTTCAAGTAATTCTATCGGTATTCAATACCCTCTTGCGAATGTATATGCATATGTATTTATCTACCATGCGATTTACTAAAACCAAGTGCCTACGTTCCATATTCATATTGGATGTGCCAAATGAAGTGAAGACTCTCTGAATTGATCCGACACTGTTCCTGTTTATTTACTACAATTGAAGTCTATTTCCGAAGACACCTAGTACCTGCAAAATATGTAGGGGTGAAAACTGGTATCTTGCCGATTTTTTGCATGGTGGCGAATTCTGCTTGAATATTATGAGGCTAGTCACAACCTGACCTGAACGCTGACCTATTTCGCAGCTCACAATTGTATCCATACGTGGCAATCAAATCCCAAAAGGATTTTCCTCCATCTCATCACAATTTTTGGAGAAACCGAAATATGTATTTACGAGTAACCTAAATATGGACGTTTCTCAACGTTATGATTTTAGTTTAATTTGGTATCTAGAATTACTCACAGATTTTTCCCGTTGGACGATAGGAGAATTACCTTCCCGCCTATGGATGGAAGTCTAAATTGGGGTATCTTATTCTTATTAGTAAACAGTAACAACTCAGTTTTGCTTGAATTTACGTTAAGGCCGCTGCCTTTAACCCACGTGTGTAGTCTACCCAGTGCTTTTTCTAGAATTCACTTGCAGTAGAAATAAAATGTACCGTGACTGCTATCACTACATCGACACCATACGCCACTACTTTAACTCGTCCTCTATTGAGTTCTAGCAGTACAGTGGTTAGTGCTACAACCCACAACAGTGGGGAGAGTACACCACCCTGAGGGTTACCTCTACGCACATAATTAGTTATTAGACTATTTCCTCTTTTCGCCTGGATAATTCTGTTTTCCAGCATGGAGCGTACCCAACCAACCACACCGCCGTCAACACCAACCCTCACGAGTGATTGGATAGCGAACATTGGCAACTCCTTTTAGTAATGTCGAAAGCGGCTTTAAAGTCGACAAATAGGTAGTGAGTGTCGATCCTTTTCTCGCGGGTCTTTTCCAAGATTTGGCGTATTGAGAGTACCTGGTCTATGGTAGATTTGCCAGGCCAAAAGCCACACTGATAAGACCCAATCAGTTCACTGACGGTGGGCCTTTCGGTCTTTCACACAAAACGCTCGATAAGACCTTGTAACCTATGCTTAGAAGGCTGATCCCGCGGTAGTTGTCATAGTCAGGCGATGGAACATCGTCTCATCCTAAGAACAATGGATGATCATGATGATTTTAGTTTTCTTATAATAAGCATTACTTATACATATACATATGTAGGCAGATAAAACTTCATAACTACATAAAAAATAGCATCAACGACTTTTAATGGAATTTATATTTTTTACACTCTTAACATTATCCGTATATGTATGTAGGTATGTATGTATGTATGTAAGTACAAATATATATAAACCAAGCGATAAAGAGCATTTAAGTAAATCAAGTTACATTTATGATAAATTTTAAGAGGCACTCTATATAGTGATGCAAATACATACGTATGTACATTTATAAAATTAGTGTTACTCATATTATGATATACAAATGTATGTATGTGGCTTGAGTTGTGGATTCAATAAAATACGTCTAAAGGCTTAAATTTGTGGAAAAATAACTAATTGAAGATAACTTCCGATATGCATAAACTCACAATTCTTTTTTTTTTTTCTAATGCTACATAATTTTTATGAATTTGTGTTTTTACAAATACGAACTAAAAATGTATAATGTTAATTGACAATACATTTATCATGACTAAGCATAATCACGCACCGGTGATAAACAGATGCGCTTGCTGTTGATATATTTAAAAATGCGGCTTCATCCGTGCGTAGACAATGAATGGCGCTACAGTTGACAGTAGGGACAACAAAATATTTGCCATTATTTGTAGTGAAGCTATGGAAGATAAATTATTATTGATAAATAGAATATTGGAAGATCTAAAAATATTCAATGAATAGGTACATATCGTTACTCAAGGTGAAAAGGTGCTAAGTCCATTTTTTGAAATTGTTCAGTAGAGACGAAAAACCGTCTTAGCTGTGTATTATCTGGCATTTCGCATCGAAAATTTAAAATTGGAAAAAAGGGAATTTAGCATCTTTTTACCGTTATGTGGCGATATATACATGGTGGTGCAAAAGTAATGTCATAATGTGAATTATGAACTCTGTTTTCAAAAATTTATGAAATTAAGGTAAATAAAATTATAGTTTAAAAAACTAAAACCTCCCTATTATAATTGCCATTCGTACTGTCATCAGGTACATATCTTTTAGGCGCATCAATATTACATAGTTACATCCCGAGCTAATAAAAGGAAGGTAAAAAATTATATCATTGAAATGACCGCATCGCAAGTTGATGCACAATTGTGCTCGTTTTATGGCATTCTCTATCGGCCTACAATATATGTAGATGTCAAAGAACAATGACTTTAAACTCCATTTGCAAAATTTAAGGCACATTCACATTATGAAATTATTTTTGCGCCACCTTGTATATGTATATCTTAGTTTAAAGTACAAAACCGCTTATCAACAAAATGCAAAACCGCGTATGAGAGGTTGCATAAATTATTTTCCAGAGAGCAAAAACACTCATATTTCAAAATGGTTCTCTTTTTTATAAAGCATTCGCATTTCTGGCTAGAATATTTCAGAACGAATGGATAAGGATTGAGCCAAGATCTTGTGTGAGTAAATCCAGGTTTTGGCAGCCAATGTCAGTTACGCGGTTTTGCAGAATGACGATACGCGGTTTTGTACTTTAAACGAAGATATATAAAATCTCTTACTTACCGCCACTGCAAATATCCTTCAAAACATCTTCGAAATATCCATTTTCATTGTCGCAGAGGCAAATCTTAGTTTTGGAAATGAATTTAGCCACACCAATTGTGCGATTGACACTTTCAAAATGACATACCAAACCATCTTCACACTCGTTGCTGCTGGTGCATTTGTGGCGCAAACCTGGAAATAGAAATACAAGAAAAAAATTTTACCAGCGAATGATGTGTCAAAAGACTTTGTGAGAACGGAAAAAGATTCTTTTTAAATATAATGTGAACTGTACGATGACAAGTTAATAAATGTCTTAACTGATTACTTTCAGACGCAAGTTACCAAAAGGGGTTTTTAATTCACTGGGTTATGTTGAATTTAATAGCATCGGTGGTTGTGTCTTATTGGCATAAAGAAGCGCCTACAGAAAACTCTACAAAAAACGCTTTGCTGGGTCAAATTGTACCATCTTGCAGACTATATCGCGGAATATTGTCGTTTGCCCCGATGGGCGAGCATCTAACCCCGATCCGCATCAAAGAGATATTCTTCAACATCTCGCTTATTTGCGCCCACGCCCTGGCGGAAAAAAAGGACGAAGCATCCAAGGCTCTCTTCTATGAGCGCTTAGAGCGCATACATGAGCGTTACGCCGCACAGTGGTACAACCCCATACATTTTTTGGAAAATATTTGAAAAAATCGGCGCAGAAAGTCAATTTTCCATATCGTCGTTTAAAGTACAAAACCGCGTACGTGAGATTGCATAAATTATATTCTAGAGAGTAAAATCACTCATATTTCAAAATGGTTCTCTATTTTATAAAGCAATCGCATTTCTGGCTAGTATATTTTAGGACGATAAGGATTGAGCCAAGAGCTTGTGTGAGCAAATTCAATTTTTGGCAGCAAATGTCAGTTACAAAACCGCGCAGAATGACGATACGCGGTTTTGTACTTTAAACGACGATATGTAATATTTATGGACACATATCAAGAAAAAACGAAAAATTGTCGTAATCGATTTATTTTAAAGCATATCAACCATATAAACCTAACCTAAGAAACCTCTTAAAAATGCCATAAATACCAATGAATATGTGACTCCGAAAATTCGTCCATTTACTTATAACGCTTTAAAAAGGCCGTACAAAGCGGACCGCTGAATATATCGTTTCGAAGTTTTGCCCATATGTTAGTAATAATATTATAACTAAACACCCCAAAAAACGGGAGTAAACGTTTTATCTTTACAGATACCTCCAATGGAAACTTAACACCAGAAACGCCTTAAAAATACCATAAATGCCATCGTTACTATATGAGGTTAAGTTAAAAATCGCAAATATGCGCCAATTGGAAACACAGTTTTTTCAATCAAAAATGTCAAAAAGTTAGTATTTATATATTGTCATTTTTGTATGCTTATATATATTAAAATATTTGGTTGATTGCCCTGATCTTTTTTTATTTTGTCTAGCAAGTGTTTTTCATATGAACATACAAGGAAGAGATCTTTGGACCAACCGTCGGAAATTTATTTTTCGCGAAGAAACGGACTAAGGCTGATCGTCTTCACTGTGGCCCGAAATATGGTTGTATACAGTACTAGGTTGCAGCACAAAAATTTCCATCGACTGTCTCCACATCGAAATTCGAAAAGCCTAATCTTTCGTTTTGTGATAGACGGAGTGTTTTGGACGTACATACATACACTCCGAGGGCCAAACATCGACTCGGCCCAATATCTTGTTGTAGTCAAAATGCGCACCTGCCTCTGTGCAGTAAGAAAAGTGTGTCCAACAAAGCAACGAACCGACTACCGTGGCCTCATGCTACTTATTATAAGTCGGAAGGTCTTATTCAGCGTATTGTGTTATCACTGAAGCCCACCATTAACGAATTCATTAGGCCTTATCAATGTTGCTTTAGATACCACACGAGGCTTAAGACAACTGACTCCCTTTCGCTTGATTTCTTTAATCTGATGTAGAAAACAGCGTTTACAAATCAAGGTACAAATAAAACTAGTAGATGCAACAAATAATTTAAATCATCTTGAACTTATTCTGCTGAACCGGAGCGTATAGTACCTAATTTTATAATATTATGAGACAGCATCTTATGACTATGTACGTACGTATGTACATATATATGAATGTATGTATGTAGTCACTTCATTTCACTTGTCCACTCATATTTGCATCACAAGGCAGCACTCTTTAACATCTAAGCAAATAACTGAAACTGTCTATAACAAAGTAAATAGAAACAAAGCTCAAGAAAAGTAAATAAGGAGCTAAACTGGGATGATACTATTGTTTGACTTTCATTTAGCATGGAAAAAGTAACTAAAGCCTAGATTCACGTAAAATCTAATCGCAAAAATAAATGAGTACCTAGTGTAAGAAATCCTTGAAGGAAAGAAGCAAGTTGTATTTACAAGCTCATTAAGTTCCGTGAATCTTTAAATTGTATGCATAGTTGGTGTTGCTTTTTTTACATAGCTTAGGTACGAATGTAGTGCATAGCTATAGCACAACATACTATTCCTAAAAACAATACGTAGTGTTAACATGAAAAAAAAAAACATATTAAGGGTGTAGAAATACGAAACGTATGCCCATGCAGTACAAATAATACCAAGAAAATAATTTTTATACTCGTATCATCTGTAATGCTAATTGGTGCTGAAATTATTGCTGCAATAAAGCAATTAAATGAGCGTTGCACACGCATATTGAAATGTTATTAAGACACAAAAAAGAAATAATTGAGACTGTGATATTTACTTTGCATATGTAGCACAAATCAACGACGGATGCTTGCATGCCGAGGAATTTCATGCAACTAAGCACGAAGCAGCAGTGAAAAAGTGTTACATTGTGTTTACAAATTATAAGGCAACCTATATGTATGTAGAAGAATATTTTCTTTTATTTGTGTGCTGTGTATTGTATATACATACATATGTATGTAATGAAAGGGAATAACCAATTTCGGAGTTTAAAGTGGATTGCGACTTTAATTTCCTTTTGCACTTGCTTATGGATTTCTGCCTGCGCTGCCCATCACTGGTTTATACGGATTACTCATGCCACATGGTGGTTAAACGAGTATTTGCATGTGTTGAAGCAAGTTATGGCATTACTCATACGCCCTGTTGACTTAAGTATGTGCTTAAATAGCTTTGCGTGTAGGGTAAGGCTTCCTCAAGTGGGCCCCGAATTTACCAGGATTAATATTTTCCAATGATATTCACGCAGCGCCGGGATTTGTAGGCGAAAAGTACACTGTGTAAATTTAGATGCCAAATTCTAAATAACGGGTGATTTTTTAAGAGCTTGATAACTTTTTTTTTAAAAAAAACGCATAAAATTTGCAAAATCTCATCGGTTCTTTATTTGAAACGTTAGATTGGTCCATGACATTTACTTTTTGAAGATAATTTCATTTAAATGTTGACCGCGGCTGCGTCTTAGGTGGTCCATTCGGAAAGTCCAATTTTGGGCAACTTTTTCGAGCATTTCGGCCGGAATAGCCCGAATTTCTTCGGAAATGTTGTCTTCCAAAGCTGGAATAGTTGCTGGCTTATTTCTGTAGACTTTAGACTTGACGTAGCCCCACAAAAAAATAGTCTAAAGGCGTCAAATCGCATGATCTTGGTGGCCAACTTACCGGTCCATTTCTTGAGATGAATTGTTCTCCGAAGTTTTCCCTCAAAATGGCCATAGAATCGCGAGCTGTGTGGCATGTAGCGCCATCTTGTTGAAACCACATGTCAACCAAGTTCAGTTCTTCCATTTTTGGCAACAAAAAGTTTGTTAGCATCGAACGATAGCGATCGCCATTCACCGTAACGTTGCGTCCAACAGCATCTTTGAAAAAATACGGTCCAATGATTCCACCAGCGTACAAACCACACCAAACAGTGCATTTTTCGGGATGCATGGGCAGTTCTTGAACGGCTTCTGGTTGCTCTTCACTCCAAATGCGGCAATTTTGCTTATTTACGAAGCCATTCAACCAGAAATGAGCCTCATCGCTGAACAAAATTTGTCGATAAAAAAGCGGATTTTCTGCCAACTTTTCTAGGGCCCATTCACTGAAAATTCGACGTTGTGGCAGATCGTTCGGCTTCAGTTCTTGCACGAGCTGTATTTTATACGGTTTTACACCAAGATCTTTGCGTAAAATCTTCCATGTGGTCGAATAACACAAACCCAATTGCTGCGAACGGCGACGAATCGACATTTCACGGTCTTCAGCAACACTCTCAGAAACAGACGCAATATTCTCTTCTGTACGCACTGTACGCATTCGTGTGGTTGGTTTAATGTCCAATAAAGTAAACTGAGTGCGAAACTTGGTCACAATCGCATTAATTGTTTGCTCACTTGGTCGATTATGTAGACCATAAATCGGACGTAAAGCGCGAAACACATTTCGAACCGAACACTGATTTTGGTAATAAAATTCAATGATTTGCAAGCGTTGCTCGTTAGTAAGTCTATTCATGATGAAATTTCAAAGCATACTGAGCATCTTTCTCTTTGACACCATGTCTGAAATCCCACGTGATCTGTCAAATACTAATGCATGAAAATCCTAACCTCAAAAAAATCACCCGTTAGTTTTTTTTTTAATAAACAATTGTAATATTTTGCAGTGTTTTGGAAATTTTTATTTTTCTTTGAAAGTAAGTGTCCGAATGCGAATTTTTTTTGGGTGCAGGTTTAAAAAACATTAAACTATACAATGAAAATATTTGCGTTACAAAAATATTTTTTCTTTTGCTTTTCAATAATTTTTTTATGAACAATTGAACTTTTAAGCAATTTCTGCGCCTCGTGGACGAAAATTTTTAACAACAACTTCTGTAATAAACTTTTCTGCATTTATCTATGAACAAATGCGTGCATTTCGATATACATAGTTTGGTCGGAATGAATTTTTATTTGGCAGCGTGCGCGCCATGGAAAGTACTACACTGAAGTTGATCACGTTCCGTTATTCAAATGTTAATGTTTTCCTACTAAGTCGTACATGGCGTATGAGTAATACTAGTATTTCCTTTGGATTCGCTCACACAAGCTCTTGGCTCAATCCTTATCCATTCGTCCTGAAATATACTATACAGAAATACGATTGCTTTATAAAATAGAGAACCATTTTGAAATATGAGTGATTTTACTCTCTAGAATATAATTTATGTAATCTGACATACGCGGTTTTGCATTATTTTGATACGCGGTTTTATACTTTAAACAACGATATAAGTTCTTTTCAATACACAGCGATCAAAAATGGGGGTTATTGGGAAAAGGAGCGCGTCATGTGGCATGCATACTGAAACTTATAATTCATATATCTGGATGGAAAGAGAATGAGAAAAGTCGGAGCTATTGTTATAGGCTCCGTGGTCCCACCCATAAAAGCATAACTTTCAGACGGAAACTCTCTGGAAGTATTTTAATTTTGAAGCATTTAGAATTGGTATTTATCAATGTCAAACTATGAAAAAGCATCTTCGAAGTGCAGAGTGAGAGCGTATTTGAACGAAAAAGCCGCCAAACACATATCTATGTAAAGTCCCTTTTTCGATAGTTCCGCATCAGTTTTAAATTCGCCACTTTAGATATAGGTTTGTAATGAATAAAGTGAAATAAAATAGTTATTTCAAAGTACTACATTTCACTGATTTTGAACTGGTGGCTATCTAGTTACTACCGGACTGGTCCGTTTTTGGAGATAAAAATCTAGTATAGGGCTATAAGTATATTGTGGCTGTCCTCAAGGGGGAGTCTTATCGCCCCTTACTATGGACACTGGTTGTTGACGAATTCCTTGATAAGCTAACTGGCAATGGATTCAAGGCATATGGATATGTAGATGACCTAGTAATCTACGTTGTTGGCTGTCATGAGAACACTATTTGCTCCAGATTGCAAGCTGCGCTCAGACAACGGAATACTGAATACTGGTGAGTGCCTGACTGTCTCGCAAAACGTGGAGCCAAAATGCACATGCATGGTCCCGACCCTCTCTGCGGGATATCTAAAGGATAAACTGTAGGACTGATTAGGAGTTGAGAAGAATCTCAGATTTCCTACCCAATGGCGGAAGTCAAAAGGAATGAGACAACAAAGAAATTCAAACCTTCTTCTAGGAGGAACTCCGAAAGACTCATTGTACTTAGCCGGGAGGATCTTACGTCTCTTACAGGCTACCTGACGGGACACCGCAAGTTAAGGTAGCATTTAAATAAAATGGGTGTTTTTGTTGAGATGGACTGCAGGGTTTGTGAGCTGATGGAGGATGCTTTGTAACTGCCCACGTATCACGAATCGTATACTGATACACCTTGGGGAACTATTATCTTCTCCATCCAAAATTTTGGAACACGGCAACGCACAACGTGCTTGATTTCTTAAATAGCCTAAGCTTAGAGTCAATACAATTACACACAGGCGAAAAAGTATAAATGAGGGTAAAATTAAGATGCAAAAACATTTAAAAAATTCAAATTTCCTGTGGATCAATTCAATTCTGTAATTATATCATATTTAACCTAATATTCCACATTAGTAGTTTCAACTCACCTTTTAGCACATCCGGGCATTGTCCATTTACCGGCGCCGAATCATCACCGCACAGACATCGCTGCTTGTAGTCGTTGGGATCCTTAACACAGCTGGTCTTATCTATCGTTACACATTCCTCATGAGTATTGCACTCCTTGCCTTTGACTGTACGTTTGGAGGATTTTTCAAAAAAAGAGAGAGAAAATTTATATTTAGTTATTGATTTGATATATAGATAAATATAAACACAATAAATATTATTCGGTTCGTACTATGTGTATATATGTATTTATGTGTATAGATGCATGCAATTTGTACTTAACTAAATATGCAGTTGGTTTGATCAAATTTTGCGTAACGATTTCGCTTCGACAATGGCATGATATTGCTTAGATTCTATTGGTTTTGCATGCAAATTTCAAGGTTAATGCCTTACGAAATGAACCTGTCACTCACTTTACCGTTATTTTTCTGTTTTCCCCTTCCTTTACAAATTAGACACTCAATGCACAAGCAACTAATGCAGTCAATACAACCAATATTGTATACAATGTTTCATCGAAATTTAAGCGTAAAATTTTGTGTATTGCCATAAAAAAAAATTAGCATTAGTCACGAACGCTCTGAGCAGCTTGTCGCGACTGATGTAGTCGTATCGAAAAGTAAGAGGAGGTAGAATTTTCGCTTCAAAAGCGACACGAGCAGGATTTAATTTCTAATTTAACTACTTTTACTGGGCATTAATCAATAATCGTTTCTCTACTTTAACTAGAACTGACTACTTGGCATATTTATTGCTTAGAAATTTCTTTTGAAATCCCTTTTTAGCTCATTAATATTCATATTTGCTTATTGCTGGGCCGTAAATATGATGTTTTTGTATTTTCTTGTTTCGATATCCCACGCGGCATTTTCAAACTGTCGTTAAAGAAGAAACCGGTTAAAAGTTTGGTTGTAATTTTTTTTGTAATTAAGTTAGCGGGGTATTCCACTGTCACGGTTGGGACATTTCTATGGCAAAAATGTACTTTCTTTTTTAAATTCGAGTATAAAGAAATCAACAATTCCACATTTTGATAAATCTACCTCTAATTCACTTTTTTTGTGGTATTATCAAATACGAAAAAAATTCCAACTTACATTTATACAGGAAAAAATCTGAGTTATTTCTTTTGTCACGGGTGGGACAAAAAAGAACCTGCTTTTTGGAGCAGATATATTTTATGAAAACTCTGCAAATTTATTTCACTTTTCTGTTTGAACATGATGGCTTCCAATAAAAAAAAGAGCTACGACAAAGCAAAAACTTACACAAAAATTATTGCTCTAGTATTAAAAAAAAAATCCGAAATTCCTCTGTCACGGGTGGGACAAGTAAGAATTTGTATATAAAAAGGAGTTTTTAGTGTGGTCCATATTGAGGATTACATATTTATTAAAAAATATAAAAAGCCAAGTAGAGGTTCAATTCACTCACGTTTTATCTGAGGATAGTGCATTTTATATGGAAGAAAATGCCTAGCACTGTCAGCCAAAAAAAATATTTAAAGACCAAGGCGATTTCCTAGCATTTTAAAATTTTCACTTTTACCTACTTACTGCATACTGAGAATTTTTTTTAATAATTTGAATAAAAAGTTTAAAATTTCTGGGTGTCTTGTTAAAAGCTGTTGAATTTTTATAATTTTTGTTCAAAGTTTGAAATGTGGACTTATTTGGTGGTGGTGGTTAAGTCATATGTTATAGTTTTATAAAAAAAGTTATGGAAGGTTCCATGAGAAAGTGAACCTAAAATTAAAAATTCACTAAAAGGGTTGAATTCAAAATAACTCTAAAATATACATACATTTGGCAAATAATAGAGAGACAACTTAAAAAAATCCAAATATCAGTCCCAGATATCAGTGATACGGTTAAAACGCAAGATCCCTAAAACGTATTTCTTCCCTGCACATTTTAAAAGAATTGATAACAACGGAAAACTCCTGCAGCGCACAGGGATGCGTTAACAATTTTTCACGTTTTCTGAAAAATACGTTTCTCTTATAGTTGGTCGCACTTTAGGAAAGAAGGCAACTCCAAATAATGAACGGGTGCAAAAGTGTGTAGTCGCTTGGCAAAAATTATTAACTTGGGCTACGTACTGCTACACAATTCAGAATACGTTACCGATGCAGCACGACCCGACTATTTTCTATTTCCAATTTGGCAACTTTTCTTCTTCTTATTTAATGCTTATTAATTTTTTATAAAATTATAGCTTACTATCCAATAATCTTATATATAAATAGGCAATCATGTTTCCTTTACACCCCTTTTACGGCTAAACTATACTTCTAAGGTATAAACAATTACATATCATTAGAAAGGTATTTTGATGCTCATGGGCAGGCAATTTAAAATTTAAATTAGTTTAACATAAAGGGAAAAAATAAATTCAAAAGTGACACCAATCCCAATGCCATACATGTACATGGTTGGGTCGGAAATGCCTCCTAAATGTATGCTTTAATATTGATACTGAATTACAGAAACGTGCTAC